CAAAGATGGAGCAATACGGAGAAAAAAAAGATGCTGCGTCCTTATAAGTGTGTTTCAAGAATATTGTCGAGATACCATCGACACTGTTCATTTATACGTTATTTTTCACATGTCGCATTGGTATTTTAGATTAAACACGAGATATTCCGATACCCCGAAGCAACGTTTTGCAATTCACGCAAACTTGACTTTAAAGACTCGCGCGCGATACCTCTTCAGATTCAACGATTCGCGAAATAAACGGTATATACCGAGCGAGTTGAGTATATTCGTGTTTCACAAGACGTCGAAAATGGCACGAGACGCGACCGGCTCGTGCCGGCGTTGGCCAAGAAACTGAAAGTGACGAAGATGAATCCTGTTAAGCCGATTACATAAGATTTCACGGGTCTGCGTCCCTTTGATGGCTCGCGCTTTGTTTACCCGCGGTCGCTCCGCGCGCGCGCGCTTATTTGATTTAGAAATCAGAAGAATTAAAGCGCTTACACGTCTCATCGTTAAGTCAATCCGTCAGGCCTCGCGGGCTGAAAGTGGATTTTGGCAGCGCTGGGCATTGATGAATTTCGTACCAGTCTCTTAACTGGCGCGTTCTCTTAATTCCGCGCCGTGGCGAGCACGCGCACACGCGTGCATGCACGCGTGTGCGTGTATAAAACGCTCGTACGTGAAACTCGTGAATGGTGAGCAATTTGAGGGCAGTCGCGAAGGAGGAGGGAAGATAATTTTGGGGCCCCGAAGCCCTACTGCCCCCCTGCCTCCTCGTCGTGGCGCTGACTCCTTGTTCGGGGCAGCGCGAACACGAGCACAGCGAAAATTTTCGCCCGAACCTCGTCTCCCCTTCGTCTCGTCATTGTCCCTCTTTCTCTTATTCTCACTCGCTCTTTGTCGTCCTCCTTGCTCGAGCGAGACGAGCTGCTCCTCGGGCGCCTCACCACACGACCCATTCGGGCAAGAGTTTGTGTATCGCAACGGGTCCGGGTAATATCTCGTTTAGAAAGATTACAGGTTCGAGAAGAGGCTGCCAATGTATAAAACAAACATCGTTAAGGCAGCCCTATACTTAAGACCTCCCCACCCGTTTCCGGCCCCACCCCATGTACCCCCTCTGGCATTACATGCTCGCTATTATGTGCATCTACGATACTGCTGCGTCTCATTATACTTGCCCGTGTATGTGTGTGCATAGGGTGTCACGGAAACCGTCGAGAACAGTAGCAGGCATATATTCCCAGAAAAATTCAAAGCATTACGGACTTATTATGCGACAAATTGAGCTTCGAGTCAACATAATGTTGTTTCTCAGTTACCTTCATCCTTAATGCAAATTTTTGTATTGCCGTAATATTTACTTAACACGTAAAGATAAAAAAGTTCCTAACGTCGACTAACGATCAACCGTGAAAAATTCGCTAAACAGCGTGAAACTTCTTGCTGCTTCTTTTCCCGAAACACCCCGCACAAAATTACAAATATACATGCACCGCGGTGATGCTGCGGGCGAGAGACGAAGAGGGTGAGAAGGAGAGGGCGGGGAACATCTTGTGGATCACGCACGCTCCAAGTGTAAATGCGCTTTGCGTGTGGTGGCGAAACGTGTCAAGCGCGTACGCCGTATTGAGACGTAGACCACCGGACGGGGTTCGAGCGCGGGGTCCGGCGAACGGGCCCCGGCATAATTTCCACGCGTATAATTATCGATGATCGGCCGTTACGGGGGCCCGGCGCGGCGCGGCGCGGCTTTCGCTCGGTGTTTCGCTGAAACCCGATCGTGAACGGGCGGATACTACGACCGGACGGTGGCGGGAGAGACGAGGAAGGAGAGGAGGCAGATTGGGCCTCTCTGACGGTTATTATTTATCGATGGAGATTGATTTAGAGCGCTGCCAGTCGTCGGAGATTACGATCGATCGGCACCGTTCGAATCGCGAGCGCCGAGCGATTTTCGATCAATCGGAGGGACCGGTTGTCCGGTTCTGATAACAACACTAAGCCAAATCTGCTCATTTCAACAAGGAATTGTCTCAATTGTTTTCGTTGTCGGCTCGGTTATTCACGTGTCTCGTTAAAGAGATGCAAGTATGTTTGTCTTTGAAATTCGTATAAAAACAATACTCGAATTGCGATGTCAATTCGAAACTTTCAAAAGATAAATGTATATGTACTGTAATAAATTAACATTGTCGCCATAAATGCTAATTTCTCTCGTATGAGCGTCCACGGCATCATAGCGCAGTTTATTGTGGCATTTAAGATCTGAAACGTTGAATAAATTTCAGATGTCGAACAGCTGTCACATAACGAAAGAGGGATAATTATTACAGTTTGATAACGAAGGATTACGACGTATGTCATTACATACGTATGAATTAATCATATTGGCCAGTACTTTGAAATCAGTCGTTACTTCGTATGTTTAACTCGCTCTTCGATGTTGCAAATTGAGTTACTAAACATCACGATCGATTATTTGTCATATTAAACGACAGCTTGTATTTATCAAAAACGCAGCTGAGATTGGAAGATCGTGCGTGATACGCGTACGCGTTAAAACTATTGTAGGCTGTCTTGTTACATTAATAAAATTGCTGATAGCTTGATTGACAATTCCACGCGTGAACGTAGAATAATGAATAATACTTAATATCAAAGAGAGCTCGATTTTCAAATTTTAAAACATTTTAAATAACACTTTTTCTACCTTTTATTTTTATGGATTTTGTTCTCAATAGAAATTTAAGAAATTAAATTAATTGTCCTTTCTGCAAGGATATTACGTTGCTAATTAGCGCTGATAAATGTTTAGTCTAAACCACGATTCTCTCGCGCAACGCAATCCTCTAAAGCGATCCCCCACACGTCTCCCCTCGTCGCGACTCTAATGACGCAAATTAGAAGAGCAAACGCGCGCGTTTGCGAGACACGGACAAAGCGCGTTAACCGAAGATCGAAAGCAAAGAGCGAGGAAGATTTAATCCGGCCGATACGCGATACACGCATTCGCGAAGGACGTTTGACGTTTTCACATTGATGTATGGCCGTAATCCACGTACACGCGTGCGCTTTAGCACCTGTATATATCGCACATGAAATATGTAAGCGTGTATGCTCACCCTTTCGTCGCGCTCTAGTCTCGGCTATTATAGAGCTTGCCGCCGTCTTCATTCAGACGCGATATACCTGCCCGCTGGCAGCGCGGCCTATCATCGCGAAAGACCTCACCTCTTCATCGTTTCTTTCTCTCTATCCCTCTGCCTTTTCTTAGCTTGCTTCGCCGCCTTCCATATCAAGCGCTATTTTCTTTGCTAGCACGACAATACTACCATCGAACGCGTGGAATAGAGTAGATAGATTCACGCTTCGAGAAAAGAAGAAGGGAAAAGCTAAAGAACAAGAAAGTGAGAGAGAGAGAGAGAGAGAGAGAGAGAGAAAGGGGAAAAGAGAGGGCACAAAAAAGTGACGGAGAGCGGTGGGAGTGAGAAGTTTCAATTGCTTGATGACGAAGGGATCCAACAACTTCGTGTAGTGATATCTTTTTACTACTGCGCTGCTATACGTCATCGGGGAAGTGCCGCGTGATGCAACCCACCCCCGTACACGTGCGCGAGGATCGCGGGAGGGTACGCAGACACGTGTGCGTTGCGTGCGCGATATACGAGCGCGGTTCGCAATAACGAAAAGTAAAAGCTCGTCGAGAGCACACGCGCAGATTCGCGTGTAATAAAACTGCTCGCCGGTGACACTTTCTTCTCGCAGTACCTAGAGATAATGAAATCGATATGTCGCCTATTACGCGTTTACGATTTTTCCTCATATGGTATAGAAGAATCGAATCTTTAATCGAGATGTCGACATCTTTTTCAGTACCTTTGTCGCGTATATGAGGTTAATAAAAATTTATTTCAATAAAGAAATTTAGAACGTCTGTATTTAATTTAATTTACCGAGGGGATTATAAAACTCCGCATTGTTATATATCCTCGCAAACACATCAATGAGCAAGTTGAGACAACCCGCATGAGATCTTTTTCTCATGTTCATTTGAGGTCTCAGGTTCGTTCAAGAGTACTTATTCGCGGCTACGTCTTTCGACAATAAAGTTGTCAAGTTCTGTATGTATATATACGTAGAAACTTTGCATGCAAAATTGTGATTCTAGCTTTTGATGTAAAAAACTTTTTATTTGTATAATAGATATTATCAGTAGACCTCCGTATAATACGGGAGATGCATTCCGTGTTGTACGAGTCACATAGATTATACATACATTATATGGATTACGTATGTATATACGGAAACACATATTTATAAAATATGTATAATAAGAGTTTATTATAAAAAATGTAAAATAAATATTAAAGATGTAATAGTTTAATATTTCTTATTTCACTTTAAAACAAATATTAAAAATTTTCCGCCACGTTATATGAATCCATGTTATATGGGGGTCTACTGTACTACCTTTAGCGTGAGGTCCATAGAAATGTATTAATTTCACTAAAAATTTTCGCGCGGGTAACCAATCATTCTTAAGCGTGAAAAAAGTCTTAAAGTAATCAAAAGAAGATTAACTATATCAATGTAACTAATAAAAAAAATACGCGCATTCTAGCTTACGTTTTAATATCTCCGGCGATATAGTAAAAGATGATAGTAAAAATATATATATTTTTTTTCATATCGCAGGAAGAAAATGGTGCGAAGTATCACAAGTTAGTAATCGCCGTCGGTTACATTCATGTCAAAGCGTGCCGAACGAAACCGCAATTTTCGATAACGTGCCACGCAATCAGCAAGATGCTATAAATAAATGGACTGAAGTCCAATAGCTTCGACTATTTGATGTCTTTTAAACATAACAAATTTACGTGGACGCGCGCGTGCGATGAAACTTGGTAGACGGCATCCTATAGATTGCTCCGCTCTTGGGAGAGCCAGCAATCGTTCAATTAACGACAAAGGATCGTAATGATAACGATGTTGAAAACGATATTGACACTTACCGGCCACTCTTCGTGATGACCATTTCCGTCCCGAGCTTGTGGAATTTCTCCCAGAGCTCCTTGCCCTCGAGCGTAACCTTCGGGTCATCGACGACGCCGTCCTCCTCCGGATGATGAGGCGGCACCAAGGGATGATGCGGCGCCGCGAGGGGATGATGCGTGGCCAGGGGATGCGGTGACGCGTGAAGCATCCCCGGTGGTAGCGGCGGCCTCAGGGGCCTCATCGTAGGACCGCCGGGACCTTGGTGATGATGATGTAACGCCGCCGCGGCCGCCGCCAAGACCTCTTCCGGCGTATGCGGGCCCAGACCAAGACCTGAAATTTCGTAGAAATGTTTGGCGATTTAGTTTAAAGAAAATATCAATCTGTTCTTTTATAAATTATTACTACGTGAAAGAGTACGGTCAAAAAATTAATGGAGGTAGAACAGCTATTTTTCGGTAGGATTAATTTAATCCATCGAGAGGGGGGGGCTATAATCACGGTTGGTAATCGAAAATCGGTATCAGTGCACGTACGATGGGCAACATCTGGTCTCGCTATTCCACGTAAATGCAAGATGCGAGCCGTAATGAGCCGCCGATCCCGGGAGCGGGCCGAAGATCAAGCGACGGGATAACAAGTAAAAGACAGCTGCTCAAAGTTTCGCGAGGGTGAATCACCTGGCAGTTCACGATAGCAACCCCCGGGAGGAAAGTTGCGGATTCTTCTCTACGCCTCCCCTCGATGGCCACCTTTTCCTTTTACCTGACCCTGCTCCGGCGGGTTCGGAATTTCATCGTCTTCCTCTTTTCCCTCCCCCCTTCCCCCCATTATAGCGACTTAAAAAGGACGTCTTGCGGAAACTGCGAGAGTACGCGAATAGCTATATAGACTTTATTCTCAAACCGCAGAGATGCATCTTTAAGAATAGACCTGGCGCGTCCGTGAATATCAATAGAGCGATCTACATATGCTATCTACTTTAGTAATCGATTATTGCATATTACAATTTCAAATATAGCGACAGTATAGCGAATTGATAGAACGAAGGAATACAGCTACATTTCCAAGAGAATTCAACTCTATATAAACGACACAAATATGTAACGCGAATCCTGTTAGCTTACTTAAAACCAAATCGCAAGAGTATTAATGCGGCAAAACATTTTTAAACAATTCAGCATTAGACGTGCATTATCGAGCAAAGTTCCAAACCGCGACGATTTCCGGGAAATTATCGCCAGACGTACAAAAATCAAGAGTCTTATTTTGCGCGTTGTGCGTCAAAGAGAACAACACGGGTCATTTCATGAGAACAAAATTACATTAGTACATCTAGATAACACCGCGGTTTACTATAATGTCAAGTTAGCGAGAATGATTAATGTAAATCACCGTCCATAAATGTTATGAGTAATGATGCAGTTAATAGTTAACGACGTAGATACGACGGCTCCCGGTATTTCCTTTCCTTTTCAATCAATTACCATCTGTAAACGGAAAAAATGCGGAAAACCTGTTACCGCATAATGACTTCATGATTGTTACCGCAGCAGATCTCTGTAAATCCTTAGCTCGATAACTATTATCTTCAGTAATCTTACTAAATACATGAAAGAAAATATAACCGCTACTGTATTATATGTATACTGTAAGTTTTTCTATCGTATAATCTTTCTTGACGAGACATCATGTCGATTAAACTAATCGTTTACGTATAACCAGCAATGTGATTTACTTTCGTTCACAAGATTTCGAAATTAACACATCAAATGTATTTGTCACGCGATGTTTTCTTCTCGAAACGAATAATAATAATTATAATAATTTGATAAAATTCTATGATAGTCTATGCGTGTGATTAACGTTCATTCTTTTCGTCTAAATTGTTTTGCGTTAACAGATAATATTTATTGGTGTGAACGTGAGAAAAAGATCTATCTGCATCCTCAATCATATCTTTGGTTAGTCATTCGACTTGTATTAGCCGTTTTAAAAAGTACTTTAAGCAGTGTAGTCTTTCTTATAACAAATTGGTCTGATTTATTGTAACGTATATTATAAAAGATAAACGTAATGTAATTTCACAGAGAAATACACTTTTACTTTCTTCACATCATATTCTACTTTGTTAATACGACAGTCCATAATTATATATAATGTAAAGAAATTATTATTTCTGAAGAAATTAGTCCACATGTAATAATTTCTATACAATTATATATCTAAACAATATATGTAATGAAAAGGAATTATTATTTGTTATGAAAAATGATTACATTTTTTCACATCTCTTTATATGAAGTATTGCGGTCGCAATTAAATTTTAGCCGACGATCACAACGGACGAAACTGTGAAAATAAGCATATTATATAACATTTTTACGAATCACTCTCACGACGGCAATGTACATATATCTCAAATTACAATCGTAATAATAATTTATACGCGTGCGTTAAATGTATGTTACCTTTTGTGTTGCGATAAAACTCTAAAATATAACGATACCTACGCGGTTTTGTGCGATTTTGTGCATGTACATCTGTTTTTATTGTAACTTCTCGCGTCGATAAATATCAGGGGATGGCTTTCATATACGAAACTATATCCACACGCGCCTGTAACTTAAATTATATTTCGCAATCGTAAAATGCATGGCGTGCAGAAGATGAATAATTAGGCGACGCACGGGCGGAGGAATTTGTTTGCGACCGTATTTGTTGTTGGCGCGTTAAACGTAATATGTATTTACGTCTGTGTAAAGACAAGTGATGTGGATATAATACTAGAGTAAAGCTATGGGCACTAAGTCGATAATAATATATCCCGCGCTCTTATAACAGATTTGCGAGACCGCTTATTCCAGACACGGTTTCTTGCCGCCGTCTCTTTTTCGTCATTATTTAAAATATTGGAAACGCGCCGCGCGCAACATTTTGCTCGTTGTCTCGAGATGCAATACGCAATGTAACCGCAATACGTAATGTAACCCATACTCTGCGCATGTGACCACGATTATAAACATATCACGGGTGTCGTATCACGCGCGGACTTTCGCCAACACGGGCGAGAGAGGATCGATCCGCGCGAAACGGGTGATATTTTTACCGCGTTAATGCATTCAGGAAATGGCTCAGATTCGGCCGAAATTCGTAGCATATTAACCGAACGAAAGCGCTAGTGAACTGTGACCGTTTGGTATTCTGTTCGTTTATCAAACGCACATCCCAGATCCATCCGACGCGGCCGAATCGAATTTTATCCAACGCTTACCCCCGCGTGCTCCATGTATTTTGATTTTTATTCGCGGACCAGTAACGGAAATGTGCTCGCTCCGGCGCGACGCGCGACGACTCGGCGTTATTTAACCGCAGCGCTTTTTAACGGTTGCCGCGTTATATTTTTCACGTGGGTCCACGCGCGATGAGTACCGCTAAAAATGTTCAGACCGAGCGGAATGAGACGATTGTTTACAATGATTGCGGTATCGCGAATCGAGGGAGGAGAGAGAAAGAGAGAGAGAGAGATAGGGGGGAAAAAAAGCATCCACCGGCCGTTAACCGTCCGCAACGCGGCATTTATGTAATGCCGCGCGCCATTATTTCTTATCAAAATAAATGAAACTCCGAGTATGACGTAAGTGCGAGGTTCCTGTCGAGATGGCGGCGCGGATTAAGCTGCTCTTCATTTAATATTTCCTTTTTCTTTTCTTTTCCTAATTTTCGTGTCGCTCCTCGACCGCGTCGGATTGCATATTCATTATATTGCCGTTGGCTCCTACGTATAGGAAACATTCTTCCTGCCGGCTTTTCGCCAAGCCCTATTTCTATTTTAATGAAAACGGAAACATTAATTAGTGCAAAGTGTGCAACCTTGAGATACATATCTACTTCTTGCGACACACACGAATCACTTTGTTGTGCTTGATAAGATAGATTGAAGACAATATTGGGAGCTTCTTGAAAGAGGCTTTAGGGTGTACCCGAATCATTCGTCGGGACAAATTCGCGACCTGTCGCATTTGCGGTTGCGATTTTTCGCTTATTAATTACGCGCGACGTGGAACTTTGATTCGCAAAGCGCTTTTTGTTACGCGTCACAAATACACGGCGAATTTAATAACTCTCTCTCACGATTGGAAGGACCGCTATCAAGCAGGGAAAATACATTGCTTCATTGCCGCCAATTTATCAACGGCCGCGCGCAGCCTATTCTCTGCACCAAGTAATACATTATTGAAAATTATAAACAAGTGCAGTATGCGGATTTTCGATTTACCGAACGCGATTTCTGCGTCGCGCACAATACTTTAATACAATTGCCAACAGCAAGACACAACAATGCCCGTTACATTTAATCGCGCCACGATCACATTCAAATTTTCGTTTCTCTATCGTTTCACGAGCGGTACCGACGCGGCGGTTTTGCCGCTGCCTCGCGCCTGGCCTTTTTTTACGCGTACACCTAACTGAAATGTGGCGACAGTTATGCGATTAATGCGATCAGTCGCCTACGAATGGAATTATTATCCATCTTCGCAAAGTGGAACTGGAATTAATTTAACGACAGAGACTAATACGTTTTATTTCGACCTTTAGAATCCGATGTAGATCTGATCGGGCGCGTTTACAAGGTGTTTCCGTTTCTCGTCCAAGCTGTCGCCGCGTCGGTACATCCGACAAAAATAAAACGTACATCTCACTTTCCTTTTTGCATATCTAACTTCTTTTTTTTCCTCTGTCTCTCTGTCTCTCACCCTCCACTCCCTCCCGTCGCTGACGCGGTCGTTTTCTCCTCGCTCGGGGTACACGGGTTACGCGCGCACGTACACGCGTCCCGAATTTCGAATGCAAGGAACGTCGGGCATGCCCTTGGAAAGATTAATCGCCACTACCTTATGGTCAGTTGGCCGCGAGCCCGACTAGAAAAGAGGAAGAGAGGACGCTGGACGAGCGCCGACGTCGCGCCGCGTTGCGCCGCGCCGTACCGTTTCGAAAAATGACGGGAAAGAGGCACAATAACAGATGACAGATCGCCGTTGTATCCTGGCCCGACGATCGGGCATTGCGATGAACCGCGAGGACATCGCCGACGCCAACGGCTTCGCGTCACTCGAGGGGATCGTCGCGTCGCCGCGCTGCGCGTCGCGACTACAAATGAAGATGAAAACAAAGCACAGCTCTGCTTTCAATTTTTATTAAATTAACTGCGTTTTAATTTTAAACGTCGTTACGCTTTAATTGGAAGGAAACATATTAAAATACTTTCGTCAAACAAAGTATATTTGTCGATTTAAACGTTGTTGTATTGTTTAATTTTTCTCGGAAAATTTTTCGTCTAATATATTCAATCGTGAAACGTTATTATAAATAAGTGAGAGAGCTGTACGTCCGCAGAAGCTAAATTGTCTAGCCAGCAACGTGGTAACGCGTGCCTATACCGGCGTCGGGAATTAATTCATCATTTAGCCTAACGAAGGGAATAACTAGTTGTAGCGGATGAGGTGGACGCGCGTAATAACGCGATGTCAGATAAGACGGGGACGAGCGATGAGCACGTTGTCGGCTCTGGAAATCGTCCTTCCGATTGTTTTTTTTTTCACGCACCTGGCACGACATTTGCAGACGACGTCGCACCCCGCTGTTATTACTGCCACAAAGTAAAAGCGAACGTAAAAAGTAAAGAGGGCTTTCGTGTCGCGTTTCCTATATTTAAATCCGCTTTTCGTACGCTAATAGAAAGCTTATAACTTTTTTTTTATTTTATGGAAAGAATTCCAACTCTTAAAAAATTTTACAAAATTATGCATATATGTTGGACTTGGACTCGTTTCGCTCGCGTATTGCGTCATCGACTTTTTTTTCGAGACACTTTTCTGCAAAATGACTTACATTTTTGCATATCCGCATGTTGTGTCATTCGTCGGTGGAAAACGCATACGAAAGGCAATACATTTTGAAAGTAATGTCGAAGTACCGAGTCGCGCTCCACGTTCGCATCGTCCTGCTCATTTAACACCGGAGATATGCCAGATCGATTACATTATCGCTGTCTAAGTAGTAATGTATTGCCGGCCATGTACGCCAATCGCATTTTTCTTTCCACCGCGTTAGAGTCGCGCTGCCTTTTCTCGGCGATGTTATTCTGATCGCTGATCGGGTGCGATTCGAATACTTCTCACGTCAGTTCGCGGATTATCGACATGAATCACGTTCCCGTAATGATTGGCAGCTTTTTTCCGACAGCTAAAGAAACCACGCTAGTGTTCTCACTTCGGGGGAAACGAAATTCATTATATTTTCGCCTTAAGTGTTCGCAACAAGAAGTTGAAGTGTCTATCCACATCACAAGCCGAGTTAATCGACGAAAAATGTTTAGTAGAAAGATGTTTCATGACTCGATAAATTCTAATTAATCTTTCGACTTGAAATGCACGAGAGGAGAAACACAATCTCGAGATATTTGACGAGCGTTCATTCACGCAAAAAAATATTTGCGGACTATTCTCAGAATATTTTCTCATTCACCGAGGATAATCCCCTCATTTTGACGCGATTTGTGACGAGTCGGGCCATCGTAGCCGCGACTCCGATGACTTTCACGCGAGATTCTCCATTGAAAAACAACAGATAAGCCAACGTCGGGCCATTGGCGACACTTTCGGCGACATTTCTCTCTCTTTCTCTCGGGCGTGGATTGCGTGGAATAAATATTACTGAGAAAACAATTAGCGGCCGATTGGTCGCGCGCAGAATCAAATGTCGTGACATTAGTGCCAATCTTTATAATGGCACCGAACGACTCGGCAAACAAGGTAATAAACTGTCTTTAATTAGTGGCATTTAATATCAATAGCGGCGGGCCACGTCGGCTTTATCGTCGCGCGAATTAACAATGGCCGCCGTTCGCGAGATGCGAGATCTAATTATTGCGCAGTATCGCGGGCGAGGGGGAGAAAGAGAGACGCGTGAACGAGAGATCTCTCGAGAAAACGCGGCGTTTTCTCCTCGGAGCGGCCGACGCGGCGGACAGAAACGCCCGCAATATTTCATACGCCGTTCTTCTTCCGTGCAGCCGTCGCCGTCGCGCGCTTTGACATCGCACGCCAGGCCGTGGCGCGCGATCAGGATGTTGCGTAAGGCCCGCGAGACGAAACGAAACGACATGAGTGACAAACGAGAGACTTCCAGCCTGTCACAAACGTGTCCTTCCGAAAAACGTGCGCGTTTCCGGCGGCGACAATGGGCACCGCGCCAAAACAACAAGATGCGCTCGTGTGCGTTCGCGAGCGTCTCGAAATGCCGAGCGATTATTACGTCGATTTCCGGCTGACGAGAGAACTCGAGACCGGCGGCTCTTGCCGACCTTGCCGTTCAGTTCGTCCGCGATGTCGCGCGGCTCGAACATCTCGCCGAAAAGATACACAGAAAGTCCAAACTTGGGATACGAACATACGAAGAATATTTATAAATCTATGCGCGATTTGTCTTCCATTTTATGGATGAAACGGCAGAAGTAGGGACAAAAGGTAGAGACTTAAGCGCTAGTCGAAGGTAAAAAGCCGCAGAAAGTGATACGCCGGCTACGTGAAAACCGGGGAAAGTAAACGTGTCCATAAAAACAAGCCGGCAACCTGCCTAATATTCGCGCCAGTAACTACCGTCTCCCGCGGGCCGCAGCCGAAATAAGCACCGTCGGCATTACTGTTGGCACGCAACAAGTTTGTTTGCAGTTTAGCTCATACGGTTATTGTACGGTTCATAAAACTTGCTGGCTCTATTCGCCTCTTTCTCTCTCTTTTCCTTTCGTCGTACTGACGTATTAATTAAATGCGAGAGCACTTTCCTCGACGAGAACACACTCTTTACGCGAAATGGCCATCAGAACAGCTAGGTCGCGCGAATTCTCTCGTGACGGCACGAGACGGAGACCGGACGCAACGAGGATTATCCGCGCTAACTAATCCGATAGATCTCGCGAGCACGATTGCCGATCGACGAAGACGACAAATTTAACGAGAACGAGACGAGTATTCACACACGTAGGTCACTTTTGCTAAGGAACATAACGGTCATTTTGTCAGTCTGCTCACCTGGCGGCGTGATCCCGTGGGGGTTGAGGTGCGGATGATGGTGCGCGCCGGCGAGTATCGCCTTGGTCTGAAGATGATGCGCCGCCGTTGGTCCTGGCGAGCTGGTGGGCGGCAGATGCGCTGCCGGATTATAGAAACCCGCCGCCGCCAGGGCGGCAGCGCTGAAGTAACTCGCGGCCGCCACCGCCGAGGACGGATGCGACAGGTCGCGTTGGCCGCTCGCGGCTAAGGGCGGCGGGGTCTCCGGTGCCGCGGCTGGGCTACCGGGTCCGCCGGGTGGCGGAGAAGCGCTGCTCTGCGACGACGAGCCGCCCAGAATACCGGGCGGATGGGTGCTCGCCGCGGTCAGCAGCGAGGATACGCTAAAGTCCGTCGGTCGCGGTGCCGCCGGTGCCGGCAGGGGTCCGGTGATGTGGCCGTTCGGGTTGCTGGCGGGCGGCGTGCCGCCGGCGATCGAGCTTGCGAAGGGCGAGTGCTGATTCAGAGCCGTCGCTGACGCGGGGTACGCCATCCCAGGCCCCCCCGCCTCGGCCCGCGGCCCCGTATTTGCACCCTCGACCACGTTAGCCTCCAATTCTCCTATGCCAAGTCTACGCCGTTGACCGTCGACGTCCTTCGCGGAGGAGTCCTCCTCCTCCTCCACCACCACCTCCTCGGGCCGTGATCGCTGCTGCAGCGCGGAGGGTTGCGGAGTGCTGGCGCAGTGGGTACCCCTGCACGCTGTGTCTTGTTCGAATCTCATCGAGACGGGCGGGTGTGCCGAGTCGCGCGAGATTCCTCTTCGAGTGACTCAAACCTGCTCCCCCGGGTGTTGCTTCGCCTTCTCGCCTCCTCGCCTCTCGCTCGCCACGTCTTACTCCACGAATTTGCGCGCACGCGATCGCTCGCGGGAGCCGTTCGGCGTTCACGAGCCGTCGGACGGATGGACGCTGCTCTTCCTCGCGAGTGTACGCCTGTCCGGCCTGGTCAACGATCACGCTCGTTTCTCCACATATCCAAGAACGCGCGTTCTCGAGGGGAGCACGCGTTCGCGCTTCAAGACTGTGGATCGCGATCCTCGGAGTGCCCGCGTTTTTCTTTCGCGCGAATTTCCAGCCACGGAAAAGCGCCGACGATCATCTCATTGAGCGTTGCCAGATATTGCCTAGTCGACATCTTACGACGCGGACAACTCGATCCTGCCGGCAGAACTGTCCAACGTTTTTCTCTCTTCAGCGACCTTTCACCATAGCGCGAGGTTGCATTCAATGGAGTATTCACTCGCGAGGATGTACGAGATGTGAAACGAGCGAGTCATCCGCCTTCGGAACACCTGATCTGAACCGAGACGAAGCGGTACACTGGCACTCCGAATTCTCGAGGAGTTGGAGCACTCGCGAGCGGACGTCTACGCCGACGCCGCGTGATAGATCTTCAGTATAAGAGTCACTCCCATGTCGAGACACTAGCCGCGAGTCACTCTAGGCCATAGTGCAAATCCGACGTTCACTAATCACTCACTTGTCACCGACCCGTTCGCAGGCCCCCTTCTGTCGCCGATTTCTTGCGTCGTTCCCCGTCTCTTTCTCTCTCTCTCTCTTTTTTTTCTTTCTTCGTTCCTCTCGGACGCTCCGAAACACGACACTGTCCCTCGCGATAGATAGTTTTGGACACCCGTTGATCGTCCGAGACAGGTTTAAAGACCACGAGTCCTCGTGAGAAGATAGTTCAGTTCGATGCTTGACGCGCCGGTCGACACGCGTATCCGACGCGAAGGACGTGAGTCGACGATGACGACGTCGAGGACGACGCGAGGACGACTCGATAAAATGGACAGATAAAAAGAAGCAAGTTTATCTCCTCTCTCTCTCTCTCGGCGACTTCTCTCGGCGGTGACGACGTTCTCGGTCGAGGGCTGAAGAGCGGACGAAAGGTGTTACTTGGGTGGCGCCGCGATGGTCACTGAGCAGCGCTAGGATTGACACCTACTCTGGGGGCTCACCCCCACACCTCCCGCGGAGGTGTTGGTGTGCTAAAGTCCCCGTCCGGATTCAGGGCGGTGTGTACGCGGCGGTCGCGTGTATATGGGTGGTCCGCGAGTCCGTATGCGTGCGTTACACGCGTGTATATAGACCGCGGTGTGCCTGCGCCGCGGAACGGACGCGGGAGGCGTGAATGCTGGAGGGCAGCGACGCGAAGACTGAGACCGTGCGGGGGCTCCTCCTCCCTTCCCCTAGGACCGTCGGATCACCGGGAGTGGGGGGGCCCCGGCCTTCCCCAACTGTCGACACACTCGGCAGTCTCGGCACCAGCGGCCGCAAGCGGGCCGCGAGAGTGACGAAGACGGAGACGCGGACTGACGAAACGTAGTGGCGGCGACGGGCGAGGGTGGGGGGAGGGTGAATTTCGCGGCACCTTCTCCCTACCAGCCGGTCGGGCGATAATGAGCGCTCGTAGTCCGGATTGGCGTTCCGGCGCCAATCCGAGCGGCGTTGGACTCGACGCCTTTTCCGACGCTACTCGAGCCAGCGGCGCGCTCTCGCTCGCACCCTCGCGCGCTCTCCCTGTCTCCTCTCCTGTCGGACTTATCCCCACCGCTCCGCGTCACCTACACACGCTCGCGACGCTCTTCGCTCGTCGTCGGTGAACTTGACGTGCGCCCCCACCACGACGGTTCTAAGGGTGTTAACCGCGAGTACGCCCATTAACACCACCCTGCGTCACTGCCTTCCAACGAGGGCGGGGGCATGGGATACGGAGGAGGGGGCCCACGGCCGACGTCGCGAGGTGTCGTTAGTGGAGCTCGCTCGAATCTTCGCCGACTGAACGTTAACGCTCTCGCATTTGACGCGAGAGAATTTTCGCGTCTGAGTTGCCACGTTGGTCGACACCTCCCTTTGGTAAATCAAAGAATAACGTTATTGCTCTCAGATATTATTTCGCATTTCAATTAACTGCGACAATTGAAAAGCTTTTCGAGACATGGTCAGTATAAGATATTGTATACTTTTTGTCCGGTAAAAATAATACGAGTTGAGAAAACAATTTCTCATAAAAAAAACACAAAAATTTGATTTGGACTAAGAAATTAACCGACTGCCCAAATACACGATCCACATATTACTTAATTATACTTATTAATTTTTATTCATTATCCAAATTGCTCAAATAATCGAGAGGTTTACTTAATATAAAAATATTTATCATATATACGTATGTACTATATTATCAATAAGCTTATATCTGTACATCCATTCATTTTTCATTAAATCTTAACATGTAGTTCGAATTATAACTCTATTATGATAAAAGTATTGAAATTTATGTATTGTGGATAAGCAAATCTTAATTATTTGAGCAATGCGGACAATATGTAGCGGGTACCTATATATTATTAGCACATTTTGAGTAATTTGAACAAGTATCCGGGTATCCAGATAAAATTAACGCTCTAACTTCAACTATCATTAAATAAAGTTTTAATTCAATGATAACAGGTGTATATCTCCAATTAATAATAGCATAACGTATATGTCACAGACATATTTTAGCCAATAATATCACATCATGTGATTACTTGTGGTATTTTCAATTCTAAACCGGGAAATTGCAGAGATTCCTATTCGAGCGAATCAGAATGCACGAATCACATAACTCATCTGTGTAAAACCAAGTTTGACGACGTTTTATCCGAAAAAATGTATGTGTAAATATATATTTCCATCGCGCGCCCGCGCCCGCGTGGCGAATATACTTTATCATCAACGTAATGCAATACAATTGGCTACGCCAGGAATTCACCGAGTTTTCCGCGAAATACCACGAGTGAGAAGTTTTCGAGAGCCGTGCCAAAATTCGCACGGTACAGCGTCACGAATCTCACCCTGTCTCATTCCGTCCTTCTCGCTCGCACTCGGTCGCTCCTCGCCCGTTTTAGCAGCAGCGGAGCGGCGACAGAGAGGAGACCTATAGCCACACCCCCTATACCCCTACCGTTGCCGCGAACATCCCCGCCACGATGTCACGTGACCCAATCCGTTCCCCTCTCGCGCTCCACGGTCTCTGTCGTCCACTGTGCCTCCCCCGTCTCGTCTCTCGCCGGGTGCCGCCCTTCACCCTTTCCTTCCAGCAAAATCTCTCCCGCTTTTTCTCTATCGCGAAACGCTCGACGCTCGTCCTTCGCGCCGCAGAGTGTTGCTGAGACGCCCAGAGCATCACAGTGTTGCCAAATCCGCGAGAGCTTTTCTACCCGCGCGAACTGGAATTACATATCCAGAATCGCATTATTCGGGAGCGTCGTAAAGAGTGACCGTCACGCTGAAACCGTCGATCGGAAGTCGTTCTTTTGTTGGCCCAGAGCAAAATTTAGTCTGGGCCGGGCCATGATCCGGTTTAATCGTAATTATATGGCAAGAGAGAGGGAGACGCGGGAGGATTAAACGTCTGGAACAAAGGGGCGGGGATCACATGTTGTTTCATTATTTATTGCTTCTGCAGTGAATTATTGGCAACGTGCACCTTTCCGTTGCACTTCTTATAAACTCAATTCTTCTTATTTACGTCACAAAACAAAATAATAATTATTAGTGCTTAAAAACTTTCATCTCCAATTATACTTTAAATTTTAATATAGGTGTGCACACACGTCTCGGGATGTCGAATTTAATACAACTATATTATATTCAATTAATACGCATATATAACATATACAAACACAATAATTTTATCATGTAATTTATATATTACAATACAAATAGTATTTAGTGTTGATATTAGTGTAGCACCAAGATATGTGGATCTTTTTAATATTTGATTGATTTAAATGACTTATGTCTATATGTAAGATATTTCCCAAGTTAGTTTTTAACTTTATTGCGTTTTTACTAGCGCGAGTTTAAATTTGTTCACATTGAAACTTAAATTTCCTTTATTAATTAATATCTTTGAAATAGAAGATTACGCTAGTTATTCATGTAACAATTATCAAAATAGCGTGTAAATTTGATAGGCTATTTTCTCATGACTTTACCTCATGCCAGTTCTCATTTGACTCCATCCTACTAGATTGCCAGACACTCGTCGTGAACAGCTCATACTAGACTTTTCGTTTTCTTTCTTTTTTGGCCGATCTGAGGAAAATGTACCGGCGGCGATCAATGCCACTATATGTTAGCTATCGGATAGAGGCAGTGGAACATAAAGGAAACGAAATAAAGAAAAAAAAACATAAAGCGGAAAGCAAGAGAAAGAGCGTCTAAAGATCCTACGGGTACACATATATTGCGAAAAAACCCTACAGTGAGAAAGAGAAGGAGTTTAGTCGCCTTTTCGCGTGTCCGAGACGACGTGGTAACGAACGGCTGAGGCAAGAGCAAAGTTTGTCCTCGTCGGCAGGGAGAAGATAGGGGTAAACGAGACAGAAAAAGAGAGGACAGAAAGAGAGAGAGAAAAAAAATCCAGCCACCGAGCGCCGTGATACGCGGAGTCAGGGGAAGCAACATAAGATGGAACGAGAGCGATGGCGCGGGCGAGAGAAAGAGAGAGGTGGTCATAATCGCGCAGACCGCGTCATAATCCGCGACGAAAAACATTTGACGAGCGCGCCGGGCTGGTAAAGGGGCAACGCGATTGGGCGTGGTTCGGCTTGACGCCGCCCACGTGCCTGAGTTCTCCCCACTATCGTCCACCGACACGTGGGTGGGGGGGAACTAACTTTACGCGACGCGCGGAATCGCTGAGCGACGAGGCGAGGAAGTGGGGGGGTCCGCGAGACGAGGACGGAGACTCGCGTGGCATTCATCCCGTGACCACGATGAGAGTAGGACGAAAGACAGGACACATACACGGCAATGCAGCTCTACACGAGCGCGCGCGCACACACTTTGCCCAGCATATATATACACGGTGAGATTTTTTTGCGCGCGGTGGTCTTGTTGGTTGGTCAGTGCGGAGATCGGCTGAAGTTTTGCACGAAGAAACTTGGTACAGCGTCCCGTATGCCGTGTCCGTATTGCTCGGTGTGCAGTCGATGAACGTCCCACAAGACCGCAGATTTTGTTGGACAATTACACCAAGTCAAATAACGCGATTTAGACTCCGTTAGATAATTGCGTCTACGAAACAGTTAAATTGTAAAGCTAGGCTTAAGGATAGAGAGGCTAATATACGAAAAAACATGAGATTCCTGGCCTATAAAGAATGGTGTATACTGGTTCAACTTAAGTAAAACTGAAATATTGTCATATATAAATACAGAACTTTTCTATTTGTTCAAATTGAATTTTGTTTCTAATGTAGGCATATATTAAAAGCAATTATTTACCATTATATTATTTCAATTGTGAATTAAAATAATAGTCGAAATGCACAGAAAGAATAACTAACATTTGTTTCGATTAAATAAAAAGCTATCATGTAACACGTATAGTGAAGTATGCAATGGAAAGCAAGTAGTTTTATGAATAATCAGAAACAATTTTGCCGCCCATATACGTATAACACACACTTTTCTTTAAGAGATTGCACAAACTTCATAAAATAATAATTCTAAACAGATTCTTCAAGATTCTTGGGAAAATATAGTTAGGAAAAGTATACTAACAAACATATTTACGATAAAGTTATGTAGACGTAAGATATATCGACGTAGGTATATATAGATGCATGTTAAAATGAGATATCATATATATACCTATAGAGCTAACGCATACATTTATAAAAAAATAAAGGGTAGCAAAAAATGTTACGTAACAAATTTCTCTAACCACAATTGTCTCCATTGTACACAGATTTGTTTCATCAAAATGATATAAACTTTTCACTTAGGGCGATAATATTACTATCAAATTATGTCTTCGATTGCGTTGCTATTCCGCCCGCAGGAAGTGGACAGTACGCGTATGTATAGTGCATCCGGTCTTTGAAACGCTACGTTGATAGTGCCAATAACTCGCATATAATTAATGATGCCTACCAACCACTGTTCGCGAGTGCGCCACCACGATATAGACCATTTGTTCCTCCCCCGATGCGGTGAACCATCGCATACGCGTAGTCGCATTAGTTAACCACAGTGGCTGCGAAATTCTGGAAACCGACAAACTGCGTATAGGAGACGGGGAATTTCACGAGCCGGTAGAATTTATATGTGCGAGAAAAAAATATGTTGACTCTCATGATTGCA